TCACTTATTTGTTTAAATAGAAAAGTTAGCTAATAAAAGTTTTTGACTCACGAGATGAGAGATGTCTTGTATTATGTTCCTTTAGACAATTTTACAATAATCTCGCGGATATGACTTTTTTCGAGTAAAAATTTAATTTGCTTGGTCTATAAGTATACTGTAAGAAAATTTCATACCAAAATTGTGATTTAAATTAAAAATCAAATATGATATTTTGAAGTTGATTTGGATGAAGAAAATCAATAATACGAAAAATTTAATAATCATGCAAAAATTTCAAAAAGTCTAAAAGTGTTAGGTAAACATCGAACGCTGGCCATTTTTTCCACCTTATTTTAGATTTTCAAAAGCAATGTGAGGCAAAGACGTTAATAAAAGTTTGTGGGAAATTTCAGAAACCTTACGAATATGGCCGCCCGTCCAAACTCTTACCAGGGTGTGCACGAAGGACTATATATTCAAAAATTTCGATATAAAGGTGGAAAAAGGAATTCCCATAATGATACCCGTCACAGCGTTGCACCACGACCCCGAATACTGGCCCGATCCAGATCGATGGGATCCGGATCGGTTCAGCGAAGAGAACAAGCAAAACAGACAACTGTTGACTTACCTTCCGTTTGGAGATGGTCCTCGAAACTGTATAGGTAAGGTAAATTATGTAGAGGCTGTAGAGGTAAATAAGTGGATGTGATATGGATTATATACAGCAATAGAAAACAAGAGAATCAGTAATATTTTACATTATAAATAACAACATTTCATTAGTGCAACTACAAACTTATCAAAAAATGTTTATTTAATCTCAACTAACGTTCAGTTTTGCTAGATTTTTTTGTGTGCAAATTGAAAATGTTACAAAATCCCATTTTGAAACATCCGACTATCTTTTATAATCGAGATGTATGTACCGCGTCTTATACAGAATTTTTTCGTAAATTTTTAATTTGTCTCACTTTATTTCATTCTAGGGTTGCGATTCGGACTCCTACAGACGAAAATCGCCTTGATAACGGTGCTCAGTAACTACAGGGTTACCTTGAGTCCACAAACCGTCACACCTCTGGGCAGGGACCCAGAAACATTCGTTCTTACCACTAAGAACAGGATATATCGGCGTCTGGAAAGGGTCTAGGTCTAGAATATACAGTCAGGCGACGCTGTGACACTACTACTACATATAATTTAGGTCTGTTGGGAAAAGTACTACAAAAGTAAATCACAGTTGTCTATGAAAACGTTTTTTTTTATTTCGCCCGACCGGTACACCCACCAGAACTCAGTCCCATTGATATCTTCTGGGAAGAATTACAAAGGATATACACGAGTAATCTATGTTCCCTATCTTATCCTATTTTTTCCACAAATAGAATTATTTGGATTAGGACGTATTTTATTTGTAAGTTCCCAAAAGTTGAAATAAAAATCTGAGCGCGCATACTAGTAGCAAACGGACTGTGCGGTCATAAAAAAGACAGTCTGTAGATACATTCTTATATGTTTCCTACTCCAATTTACTATTAATTAATTTTATATAAACATTTATATTAAAAAAAAAACGCATTTTTTTTTAGTTTTTTTGCTTATAAAACCTAAATTAATTTTTAAGAAAAACTTAAAAGAATGGCGGAGTAATCTAAAAAACTTTAAAGAACCTTAAAAATTAAAAAAAAAAACGTTAAATTTTCCGATTTTTCCGGATGTTTCTTCGTTTCTAATTATCCGATCGGATCGATCGACCTCTCGTTTTATTCGTATTTCGATACTCTACAAATTTTCTCGTTATAGCATTCAGATTGCTTCGTTAGTTTAGGTTTTATAAGCAAAAAACTAAAAAAAATACGTTTTTTGCATAAAAATGTTTATAACAAATTAATTAATGGTAAATTGTCTGTCTTTTAAATGATGGCATCGGCACAATCCGTTTGCTACTAGTATTTTTGTCACAAACAAAACCTCTATTTATTGGCCTAATTGTAATGTCCTTACAGATCTCAGAAATTCGAGAAATAAAAAATTTGTAATATCATCTTTTAAATATCTTCAAAGCAGAAACAATTAAAGCCGGTCAATGAACATCATTTCAAGATAACAAAAGAATAGTCTAAAAAACTTGTTTTTATCTTTTACAGTGTCCGATAGTAAATCTAATTCT